GTGTGTGTGTGTGTGTGTGTGTGTGTGTGTGCGTGCGTGCGTGTGTGTGTGTGTGTGTGTGTTCAATGTGAGAGAAAGCAGTGTGAGATGTCTTTAAAAACAAAAGGACACATTTCACTTTGCTTTAGCTCTGTTGCATCACCCTCCAAATCTCAAGCTGCACGTAAATGAAAAATGGAGAAAGTGCCAACAAGGGGAAGGCGGTTTTTCCTTTCTTCTTTCAGATTTGGGCTACGTGTGCATCCCTGCTGTGCTGCCAACTTTGAAGGAGGTGGCAAACAGCTGCGTACCCGGTGATATGAATCAAGATCAGGAGAGTCTGGAGGATGAGACTCCTGTCATCTTGGGCGTGGTGGCCAACATTTTCCAAAAGATTATAGAGCTGTTGGCACGCCGACTCAGGAAAGAACCCGAGGAAGGAAAGCAGGTTTGATGTCATTTATTAACCCTTGACTTGTTGGACCTAATATGAGCCATAAATAGCAGACTGCTGTAGTTCTTCAGAGGGTTTGTTGTTACAGTTTCCTCTACAATCGTTCTCCTCAGCTCTGCCAGTCACTTGTTCCTGGTCTGACTGACTTCTTCCAAGTGGCACAAATGTGGGACAGAGCACTTCTCAATGGGGTTTTCTCTACTGTCTTTGCTGTCATCATTGTGGAAAAGAGACATTTGCTTCAGAAGGTACCAGATCACTGGAGCAATAAGGAATGACCTAATCTGTATTATACATGAGGAAAAAACACAGGCTATAAGTTTTTTTTTAATTAAGCACGTTGCATTAAATAGGAATATAAAACTGCTGTTTGTAAGTTTTTAATGACATGAAATTCTTACGGCCTCATCAACTTCCAGGTTTGTTTGTTTTTTCCAGATGACCCATCCTGAGGAGGTCATCGTTCCACAGTCAGTAGAAGACATGCCTCCTTTGTCCAGCACCCTGCTGACTGTCATCCTCAAGTCCCACTCCATCACCAGGTAGATTTACTCAACCCCACTATTTATTTTATTTTTAACTTTCACCAACTGGTTCTGATGATGGGTCCATGCGTGCTTCCCTCAGGTTGTTCCTGGAAGAGGTCAGCTCATCTCTGGACTCTGACGCCATCAGCAGCCTCGTTGAACTGGCTGCCGTTCTGCACGTCTTGGCTGTCATCAACCACGGTAAGTTTTTATTTTTATTTATTTATTTATTTATTTATTTATTTATTTATTCATTCATTCTAAAAGCCCATCTATTTCAAGATCTACAGCTCCTGTTTATAAAAACGTGTCTCATTTATTATTCATTAGCAGGCCAGTCCAAGGTTGGCTTGAAGAGCGCAGCTGTGTCTGCGCAGCAGCAGCTTCACAAACATGTCTCATCTGTAGACAGCAGAGATATCCAGAGGTGAGTTAGTGAGAATGAGATGAAGATGGATAATATATAAATTTTTTTGACTAACTTCATAATTCTTCTTTCCAACAGGGTTATATATGAATCTTCAGTGAAGACTTTGAATGAGATTCTACATTTATAAGCATCCTTAATTGTAAAGAAATGTTCTGTGTGTTGTTTTTTTCAAGATGGCAAAAAAAAGGAAAGCTTACGTAAAATAAAAATATAAAGCAGAGCTCCTGATTTGTGCTTTTGTACTTCCTGATTACAAATGTCACACAAGTTAAGTCATATTTTAAAGCTTTCATTCTTTACTTCTCTTTTTTTTCCTTTTTAATGCATATTTTTTATGTCAGTATATCTGTTTATATATTTTTATTTGTCAGTATCTGTGTTTATATATCTGTTATTTTGACAGCATGAAGTCTGCATTTTGCTACTAATTTCAATAAAATGAACTGTACCGTCCAGCTTACACGAGATGTTTGTTTTCACCTCAAATGTTTTCTTGCACGTACAGCGCTTTTCAGAGTAATGACAGAGCAAACAAACAATATATCATCCTCTAACGCTTTTCGTTCCCGAAGGCGAACGGCTTCTGATTTCAATTTATAAACCGTGACATTAAATCAAAGGTTGTGGTTTGAGGAAAGCAAAGCAGCGACAGACGTTATTTATCGGGGAGCAGGAGCTACTATACATCATGTTCTGTTTCTCTTAACAACTCTTGCTCATTTTTTTTGATTTTTACCGACAATTTTCTTGTTAATATTTCTGCTTCATTTTTAAACCCAGCGCTGAACAATATTCATTATATGTCATAGTAATGATTTATGACAACCTGCTGTTAAAATGTGTTTTTTATTTTTAGAACAGCTTTTTATTTTTGACATGTGACTAATTGATCTGTTCACACAGCATGAGCATGAATCAGCAGTTTTAACTTTATTTTATTATTTTTTTTAATTTTCACGAAGATCAATTCAAATACTACAAAAATATGCTCGGTATACTTATTCTTTGGTCTTCATACTGATATATGCTGTTATATTTACTTAATGTCCTTGATGTGTCTGTTTTTATTGTACAGCACTTTGGTTGGCCTTGTGCTGTTTTAAGTGCTTTATAAATAAAAGTGGTAAAGAACAGTATGTGAGACACTTTATACAAAAAAAGATGAATTAAGTTTTACTGCCACAACAAAAGCACTTTTCTATAATATATATAGCATTTTGCAAGTTTTAGTTTTTTTTAAGAAGCCAGACCTAAGTAAGAAATAAAATAAAGTTTATAGTTATAGTCAAATTAAATAAAAGTTTTTATTTTTGATTTTCAGTACGTTACGATTACATAGTGAACAAACTGGCCTAATTTATAGTCCCTAACTATATGTTTTACTTCAGAGTGGGATACTTACCGGTAGTGGTTCCATAGATAAAAGGGACGCATAGATCAGTGTTTTCATTTTTATGTTGGGTAAAAACTATACATGGGACAAAAAGTAAGGAAATCTGTGTTAGTTTTTGTTTTGTTTTTTGATGTAACAATACTTGGCAATAAATCTTACATTGTTGGATTGGAATACCTGTTAATTTCCCTTTTTTAAAAGGTGCTGCATTTGCAAGGAACATGCATTTGTGGGATGAGCAGTAGAGCAGAATATGTGGGTTGCACACTTGAAAAAACGGTCAAATCTTTGCCAAACAGCTGATTTTGTTGTTACTGTTGACACTTACTGTAGGTTTGAGCTTCTGGCACTTGCAGGTGCTACCAATCAGGTACCCGGTTTAAGATACATTGCCAAGAAGCATTGTTACAACGAAGAAATAATCTACCAAACACTGATTTCCTTTACTGTTTGTGCTAAGTTTATATAAATTTATTTCTTAACATGAAGGACCCTTTCTAATGTCCCAAAAATAGTTACAACTTATTGTGTATATTTTTAGCTTTTAAATCACCCCAAGCCCCACCCCTCGATTACAAAAATAAATAGTGTTCCTTCAGTGCGAACTGAGCTTGGCAAAAAAGCTTTCTCCTTTTCTGGCCCCTCCACCTGGAACAAGCTTCAGCAAGACCTGAAGCTCTCCAGTATGGTCACACTTGGGGAGTTTATGATTTTAATAAACAGATTTGAATATTTGTAAGCACCTAT